CAAAACACCACTGTATAGCACATATCAATTCACTCGGAAACAATATGCGATTGAGTCGGGTTCAGCTTCTTTAGATTATAAAACAATTAATGGTTAAAAAGGAAAAAAGAAAACAACTTAATCAGTGCCTGAAGTGTTGTAAAATTCAGTTTGTGTGTTTATTAAATGCCGAGATCACGGGGCTTCCCGGAGCGGAGAGGTGCTCGCGTTCAGCGGCCCTTTAGCTTAACACCAGTGTTTTGTTATTACAGGAACTGCAAGACAACCTGCATCCTGCGATCGGCAAAATCGTTCCGGCTTGTTCGGTTTAGATAAGCGGTGGGACGGACGTTTCAGTGGCCTGTAGATCCGGATACGCTCGTGTGGTGTCGTCCCCGACACAACCGGCCTTTGAAATTGTCGTCCAGCTGACATGCACTTTTAGTGCTCCCTGAAAGCGAAGCACGATTTGTACACTCTGTTTGTTTGTTTTTTATTTTTATTTACTATAGGCTGCCTTATACGGTTTTTGCGATCTACATATTCGTTTATTGTTCCAGGAGAGCCGCCTATATAATTTGAGAAGAAATCACTGTACGTATCCTGTTTCACGCGCAACGTGGGCTCTTTCAGTCTGCTGTGAAATGACTTAAACACATGCTTGACCTTGTTATGTCCTTTTTATGTATCCGGGTTTAGTGATGGAAACTGGTAGCTTGCTAAACTTATTAGGCTACATGGAGAAGTAGGTTGAACCTTTGTTTTATGCTTAACCCGAGTTAAAAAAAAAAAACCCGCCAGAATAAATGTATTGTGCGTGTCTATGTGAGAAACAATCACCCAGCCTTCCACCCGTTTTCCTCCCTTGTGCAAATACCCACATTGGTTAATGATGTCTGCAGGCTTTAAAACCGCGAATGTTAAAAAGATAGCTGATGCTAAGGTTGTGGTAACGAAAATTTGTTTCGAGTCTGTAGGCCGCTGACATATTACAAACCCACAGTGACTGATGTTCTCTGTATTTACATCCAGCTGTCTGAGAATCTCCAGTCTCATAAATCATAATATATCTGAAGGAGTCGGTTCACTGTATTAAACATTAATCTACCAAACACTTACTGCAAACAGGGTCGTCTGAAGGCTCCGGCACGTAAGGATACCTCCTAGGCAGCACGCTTGTTCATCGCAAAATGCATGCAAAATTTATCATTTAGAGACATTTAATTCTCTCTCTAGATAAAATTATAGTTTGCTCCATTTATTATATGCAGGAGTAGGAAAGGCTGTTACCCTGTATGGACAAAAGTATTGGGACGTCTGATCGTTACACCTACAGGAACCTTTATGACGTCCCATTCTAAATCCACAGGAATCAGTATGGAGTTGGTCCCCCCTTTGCAGCTATAACAGCTGCCATTCTTCTGGGGAGGCTTTCCACGAGATTTTGGAGTGTATCTGTGGGATCCGTTGCCCAATCATCCAGAAGAGCATTGGTGAGGTCAGGCACTGATATTGGATGTGAAGGCCTGGCTCACAATCTCCATTCTAGTTCATCCTAAAGGTGTCCGATGGGGTTGAGGTCAGGACTCTGAGTGGGCCAGTCAAGTTCTTCCACACCAAGCTCATCCAACCATGTCTTTATGGACCTTGATTTCTGCACAGGGCACAGTCATGCTGGAACAGCCAAGGTCCTTCCCCAAACTGTTCCCACAGTTAGAAGTTAGAAGCATAGAACTGTCCAAAATGTCTTGGTATGCTGAAGCATTAAGAGTTCCCTTCACTGGAACTAAGGGGCCTAGCCCACCCTCTGAAAAACAACCCCACACCATTATCCCTCCTCCACCAAACTTTACAGTTGGCACAATGCAGTCAGGCGGGTAACGTTCTCCTGGCATCTGCCAAACCCAGACTCATCCGTCAGACTGCCAGACAGAAGCGTGATTCGTCACTCCACAGAACACGTTTCCACTGCTGCAGAGTCCAGTGGCGGCGTGCTTTACACCCCTCTGTGTGGAGCTTGGCATTGCAGTTGGTGATGTGAGGCTTGCATGCATCTGCTCGGCCATGGAAGCTCATTCCATGAAGATCCCGGCGCAGAGTTTTTTTGCTGGAGTTAATGCCAGAGGAATATTGGAACTCAGTTATTGAATCAACAGAACGATTAAGACTTTTACACACTGTGCCTCAGGACTCTGTTACCCCGCTCTGTTACTTTACGTGGTCTGACACTTTGTGCCTGAGTTTCTGTTGTTCTGAAATGTTTCCACTTTGCAGTATCACTTACATTTGACCGTGAAATATCTATCAGAGAAGAAATTTCACAGTCTGACTTATTGCAAGGGTGGCATCCTATGACAGCACCATGCGTGAATTGACTGAGCTCTTCAGAACGAGCGATTCTTTCACAAATGTTTGTAATCCTGATTGTGTGGCTGTTATAGGTGTTTGGGTTTATACACCTGTGGCAATGGGTCTGAATGAAACACCTGAATTCACTGATTAAGAGGCGTGTCCCAATACCTTTGTCCATATAGTGTATACTTACTTTTGTTGTTAACCCAAGTTTAACCCCCACCCTACCCCCCAAAAAATCTATACATATATTTGTGTATTTGTGACCCTTTGCATTTATTATATGGAAAAGCAGGAACTGCTGTGGGGGGGTTGGGGTCTATGAAGCAGATTTACATTTATTCCATGTATTTGTATTGGTAGCATCACACTGTACTCGCTGAGCTACCGCATTAATCATGTTCAGGTGCCTGCGTGTGTGTGTGTTGACTTTGTGTTCTCCGGTAATCCATGTGTAGGAGCTGAGCCAGGATATTTTCACAGCAAGATTTTGGTCGCACCCTTCCTCCGAGCTTGGAAAAGATTGGTCTTGATTGCAAAACCTTCCCCTCATATTCAGAGCATGAATCGCAAGGATTTCTGATTCAGACTCATGGTGTGGACATTGGTGAAGGTGATGATGGAACCTCCTGGTGGTCAGGGAGCCTTTAACAGGAGAAATAACCAGGTCAAGACTCACTCTTTAGGTAACTGTAGGGCGTCTGTGGTAGATGGGGTTGAGAAGGTTGTCAAAAAGGTTCCTCAGAGAAGATCCATTCTGCTGTAGCTTTTGATAAAGCTAGTTAACTGGATCCAAGCCCTGCAACCTCTGAGGTGTGAGGTAACCACGACACCTGCCTCGAAAACATGCTGCCAATAATGAGGTCATTCAGTTTACGCTAGACTAGTGCGTGATGAGCTAAGAATAACAGCTCCTTGGCTTAGCTGCCTGTGAGAACCTTCCAGCTTAGAGGACCGCTGTCGCGCAGCCTGGTGACGACGTGACCTGGCCAAAGTGAGCCTGCGTGTGAGAAGGAGAATCCACAGCAGTGTGTCTCACCCCAGTCCTCGGGGACCGCCAAACGGTCCATGTCTTTGATCCTTCCAGTTCCCCAGCCAGTCATTTTTTGTTTTTAAAAAAGCAAATTTTAGTATTAGACACTTGTACCTGTATGGCTTCACATGCCGTGGTTCTACAAACAATTTTAGATTCAAAATTCTTTATTTGCCTTTTGAACATCAGTAAATAGGAAGTCTCATTCAAACCATCCAGTCAGTAACATGTAACAGAAATAGACAGGCCTGTTTGTGTTTTGGCAGCTGTGTAGGATACGTTCTCTTCTCAAGGGAACAAAAACATGCTCCTTAAGTGATATGGGCTCGGCGACAGACACTGAGGACACTGATGTCTCTTCGCAAACCACCGAAAAAGTCCTGTGGCCTCAGCAGACATATATTTTGCATGAACAGTCCCACACTCTGCTCTGGTGTAGATTTTACCAAATTTGGACTGACTCATGTCTACAAGCGCCAAACGCACATCTGGATATTGACAGGACGGCCTGTCCCCGTTTGACCTTATGTCCGCGAGAAGACTTTGTCCTTGGATAAGACATCACAGCCTTCTCTGGTGACCCCAGCTGAGGTTACAGAAAAGTTCTGCAACTCCTCCTTTCCCATTGAGATGACCTCTTGCATCTTCTGTTTTCTTTTGACATCAGCTGGGAGCCTTTTCCCTGCTGTGTGATCTGACTATCTGGGGCTTGATTCATAGTTTCCCACATGCTGGGAAGACATGGACTGGAAGTTGTCCTGTAAGTCCCGGAGGGACGTCTCTCCAGATGATCTTCCTCCTGAAAAAGCAAACAACCTGCCCTGTTTCTGAACGAGATGGTGACATTTGGCCATTGTGATTAAAAGTCATGATCTTTTTTGTTTTTTCCATTGACTGGTTGAATGCCGCAAATCTTATTTCCTCTAACCCAATTGGATGTAATTCCATGAACCCATCATAATCGCAGTTATTAAATAAAGAGATGAGGCAAAAACAATAGGGCTTCAGGGCTATAGGGCTTCAGGGCAATAGGGCTTCAGGACAATAGGGCTTCAGGGCAATAGGGCTTCAGGACAAAAACTCTGTCCCCATGACCTGTGGTAAGGGTGCTACTGCATAAGGGAGGCGTCGGGCTGACTTTAAGGACGCTGCCCTCATTTCCTTTCGGTCTCTTGACCAATCAGAGTGCGCGTTGCATCGCCCATGTGACTTTCCACTTGTCTGTATGCATTAGGGGGAGGGGCTGGTATGCCCATGTGACCATCTGCGTCACGTGACATGGCGGAAACGCAGCTGCATGCTGTGGTCTCTCTGACGTCGTCTCTCTGCTGGTGGTACCAGTTCCACTCGGAGTTGTGTGATTTTTCTGTGAGGCCGTCAGAGTAAAAATGTCCGTTCGCCATGGAGGCAGTGATTATGTGTGGACTTCCGCAGGACAGTGTGTGGCTCAGCAGGTTGGAGTACTGTGCCTGTGATCGGAAGGTTGCCAGTTCAAATCCCAGTGTCTGCAGAGTGATTTTATAGTTGAGGTCTAGAGCAAGACCCCTTATGCTCAGTTTCTCCTGCAGGATCTGTATATTGTTTTGAATAAAATCATCTCTAGTCTTACGCCTGTGATTTTGTGTTCCCCTCCCAGCTTTGATGTGGAGAATGGCCCGTCCTCTGGATGCAGCCCCCTGGACCCCCAGGCCTCCCCCGGATCGGGGCTGGTCCTGCACCCCAACTTTCCTGGCCACACGCAGCGGCGCGAGTCATTCCTGTACCGCTCCGACAGCGACTACGACCTGTCGCCCAAATCCATGTCACGCAACTCCTCCGTGGTCAGCGAGGTGTAAGTACCCCCCCGACTGCCAAGCACAATGTCAAATCCACCCTGACTGCAGAGCATGCAGGATTAAAATTATGGCTTTTTAAGTAGTTTTAACTTAGCGCATTTTATGGTGTCATGTAAGACTTTAATATATGTATTTCAACTTTATGGGTTAGACTTAAAACCAAAGCAGGGAAATGTTTCCTGGGTTTTGCAGAGCGTCATGCACCCCCCTCCCATGGAGGTGGTACAGTCCAGCTACTGATCAGCGTAGCGCTCGTTTGATTAATGGCGACGCACCCGTGGCTGCGCATGTCTGGCGTGTCTCTCAGCCGCGCGGCTTTCACGGTTACATAACGTGCATTAAACATCGGCAGCTTGGCGTCGATGCCTTTCTGACGAAGAGCTCAGATGGAAAAGCGACGCCCCATCCGCCGCACCGTCCGTTACGCCTGCGGCAGCGTTATCAAAAGCCAATATTTTGTTTCCTTCGTCGATGTATTGTTAACTACTTTGTTCCACGGTGCTATAGTGGGCCCTCCTGTGGGCTTCAAACCAACAACCTTCAGGTTACAGGCCCTTAACTACTGCACTGCCTTCATGCTCCTTTAAATGGCGTCAGAGGTCCACACCTTTGATCCTCTTGCATCTGAACATCTGATCCTCTCATATTTGACAGTCGTCAGAAGGCTCACTGGATTGAAACCCTAAAGCTGGCAGCTGTTACATCAATGTCCTGAATTTCTGATTTTAATCTACTGCAGTTTGTACAAATGAGTTAAACTTCCCCGGATGCAGAAGATGAATATTGTAATATAATTACTATGTTAAATTCTACAAAGACTTCATATTTGTAACCTGATATTCTCCCAAGCGCAATCCGTTTGTGGTGATTATGCTTGGGTATGAAGTAATGCATCTTTTCATTAACCGGAGTGCTTCATGTCATTAAAGTGACGTTGTTTCAGCTCCGGGCTGTAATTCCAGTTTCCCCCCCCCCCTCACTCTATCATATGTCAGGGGTGTGTGTTTGGGGTGAGAAAAGGTTGCGGCACCCTGCTTCTGTGAATCGTTTGTGAGAATCCGAATCGAAACCTGTGAAATCATTTGCTAAGTGACTGAACGCAAATGTCAATACCTTTCTCCGATTTGCAGACATGGCGATGACCTGATAGTAACACCGTTTGCTCAGGTAAATATTGTGCCCTGTTATTTAGCTCCCCGAAATCTTCCACTAATTTTGGATTAAGCATTGTTAAATGATTCCTAATCTTTGATTATTATAATTATTTATTTCAGGTTCTGGCAAGTCTTCGAAGTGTAAGGAACAACTTCACAGTGCTCACCAATGTACACTGTGCCTCCAACAAGTATGTGAAGATATGCATTTATTGTACAATGTCCTCCGTTCAGCTTTGTGCGATACTTGTGCTTCCACTCCCTGCGTGTCGTCTTTTTGCCACAAGATGGCAGTAAGCGCACACTTTAGTGCTGCAGCACAAACGTCAGTATGCAAAAACAACGCGTCTTAACACTCATACAGTTCTTGACTATCTTAAAAACATACATGCATTCAATTTCCACGCTAATAGATGGTCCACATTAAAGAAACGTGTAGGTGATGGCAGTTCCATAAAGCAAATGTGTTTGTCTTGTATTTTTAGAAACATTAGCTAGACCTTATCGATGGTTTAGACCATTTGTGGTCTAAAAACAAAACCCATATTCATGACTTTTATAGTTTGTATTGGAACACACATGCCGATCTGTCACCCAGTGAAAGCGTTGTGAAAGTGTGTTTCTGCTTATGTCAGCCTTAATAAAAGAGAGAAAAAAAGTGTTGCACCATTGACAAATAGGTGCGCAATACCTTGAATCGACACTAGGTGGACCCTAAATCCTGTGATCGTGCTTATCTCTCCTCAGGAGGTCACCAGTGGCGAACCAGCCGCAAATCACCAGAGTCTGTCTGCCCGGTAAGCCCCCCCCCCGTCCTTCCTGTGACTCCCACATATGTATGACATGCTCATGTGCGTAAAGTGGAAATACCACCGCAGGCCACAAAAGTCCCTCATAGATCATTCAGCTGCATAATACAGGAAGTGCTGGGACTCAGACGAATCCATTTCAGTTTAACGACTGTGTAACTGTATGTGTCTTCTGGAGGAAGTGCGTCTGTACCTTTGCGTTGCTTTTCGAGTTGTGCCCCGCTGATCAGGCCCCTAGTCGCTAGCAGGATCATCATACCAGCATCTCAGGGCCAAGGATACAGAGAATTGAAAAAAAACTACACATCACCGATTTTCAGTATAGTGTTGAGAAAAGTGCCCTGTGAAGCCTTGTGGAGATGTAGTAACCACTCCAGGAGCCTGACCAGGATAGTAACCATGGCAACAGCGTCTGGGGAGACGTGTGCCACAGCTGCAGTGGTGATGGTTTTTGTGTTATCAGTCTGGGGAGGCCAAAGCCGTCTGCACGCCTCGATTTCATCCCAGACCGCTAATCCTCTCCATATTTATCATGAAGCACCTCAACTGAAGATGATTGAACACATGTGGGGTGGGGGGGGGGATTTCTCAGTAAATTAAGTCTTTGTGCCGAAGCCGCGGTGGGGGGCCCTCAGATTCACGGCCCGCCGAAACTGTGGAGCGCCTTAGAAATATGTTGTAATTCTGTAATAATTTTTTCAGTCGTTGGTCGGGACGTTGTGCGTTTTTTTTTATAATTTTTTTTCGGTCGCCGTTTGAAGAGGGTTTTAGGAGGGAGTGACGCGGTACGGCGAGCGAATTTTATTTTTCCTGTTCCTTGCCCCGCAGAGACGAGTTCGAAAACATGTTTGTGACTGTTTCGTGACGTGGGGTAGAATCAGTAGGAGCCAAGGCGGTTTGGAACGTGCCACGTGTGTGTGCGTGTGTGTGTGTGTGTGTGTGTGTGTGTGTGTTTGTGTGTGTGAGGTAGTGTTTGTGTGTGTGTGTTTGTGCGTGTGAGGGAGTGTGTGTGTGTGTTTGTGTGTGTGTGAGGGAGTGTGGGGTCTCTAGGTACATCAGGGGTGCAGCCTTAAGTTTAACAGGGAGTGCTTTGTGTTGTCGGCACGGCGACTGCACTGCCCCTGAGTAAGTTTAGGAGGAGGACGGGGAAGTCAGTGC